TCATGGCCCGGGCACTGAGGTGGGGGTGCTGCCACCCAGCCTTTGAGAAGTAAGATGAGGATGTCAGGTTCAGCTCACATTGAGGGGGCAGGGCTGGACTCAGGCCCAGAGCCTGGGACAGCTGCTGGGTCTTTGTTTACTGTGCCCTTGACCTGCCAGAATCTTCCCAGTTCCCAGGCAGAACAGAGTCTTGGCCCGTGGGCAGATGGCTGACCTGGACATCACCCCAACAGGCATGTCCAGGACCTTTCTGCCCCCACTCTCAAGGCACCCCTGTCCTTTCTGTCCTCTCCACAAGGATCCTGGTTAACCCGCTCTCTTGCCTGAGGCCTGCCCTTTTCTGGGTGCCAATTCCGCAGCCCTGCTTGTACGCGTGAGCTGGTTAACGTGAAGGGCGGCCGGCCCTACTGAGGTAGGGGTCCTCCAAGGAGCAGGTGCCACGGCAGGATCAGATGTGATGGGGAGAACGTCTGTGAAGGATACAGGGGAGTGTGAGACCATGATGCAGGTCTGGCCTTGTGAAGGGAAGGGGAGGGGCCGTGGCCCAGCTCTGGGCCACATCTGCTGTTGGAAGTGTAAGGGGTCCACACGTCAAAGGCACAAAGGGGTAGCCAGGATAGGATCCTGGGGTCATAGAGCCTCTCAGAGCCCAGGCTTCATGTCTGTCCTTGGTGTGGCCATGACGACAGAGTCACCATGGTCCCTGGCAGTGCCTGGGACACAGCCCATGTGAAAGCCTCCCCTGAGCCCATGTTGCTGGCCCTTGGGCTGCCAGGCTGTGCCAGCCCCACTCCCTGTCCTCTCTGAGGTGTGGGGAAGCCAGCAGGAGGCTGCTCCCTGCCTGGCCCCTGACACAGAAGTCCCTTCCTTCCACTCCAGCCCTGCTCGGACCCACGGCTGCCGGCACCCTTTCCTTCTGCAGGTCCTGTCTCTGTCGCAACTACTCACCCCTTCCATTGTCGGGCAAGGGCAGCCACAGACAACGCATGTGCAAATGAACTGCATTCAGTAAAGCTTTATTTATAAACACAGACAGCAGGCGGGACCCTTCCATGGTGCCCAGGGAAGGTTTGCTTTCTCACCTTTCCTCAGGGGTCACAAGGACAGGAGGCTGGGTCCCCTGCCTCCCCATTCCTCTGCAGGTTGGAGAATTTATGACAGATTCTTGTATTGGAGGGTTTGAGATGGTAGCACAAGGGGGCACTGCCCGAGTGAGGTCCCCAGATGCTGAGCACTGGAGACCCCGCCCCGTCTGGATTTGACCGGCTACTTTGGGGCCTTTATACTTCCTGTCGCTCCCTTAGATTCCAGAGCCTGAGTAGAGGTTAATGGCCGGCCCCTGGGTCTACAGGTGGGGCCAGGCTGCAGCATGCAGGTCTCCCCAGCTGCCGTCCCTGTGTCCTCCCAGCCTGTCTATGAACCCTGCCCAAGTGCCGGGTACGGCCTGCCTGGTACTGCCCAGCCTGCCTCTAGGAAACTGTACCAGCTGTCCCTGGGTTATTGGATCACAGCCAAACTCCCAGCCACTGTCTTTGTCACCCTTTATCCTGTTGGACCAGCCCCTTGAGGGACAGGCTCACACCTGCTCTAGTCTTTGCTGGGGGTTCCAGCCCTGTTCAACAAGCTCTAGGCAGCGCCCTCCACGGCCTCCTTGGGGGACCTGTGTGTGGACTGGGGCTACTTCTGTGTTTAAACACTCATGCCTCAGCCTGTTCTTGCCACCTATGTCCTCTCTGTCATCGCACCTGTAGCTCTGTGCCTGTCTTTCCCACTGGGCCCCTAGTCCCGTGGTGACAGAATGAGGTGTGTACAGGCCACTGTGACTCTCAATGTGCCAATGGCTGTTGTCACTGGTTATGTGTTCGGGAATATCAAGGATAGTGCTCCCCAAATGGCTAGTGGCCTTTCTAAGTGCTGCTCGAGGGCGCAGTAGCTGCGTGTTGACCCGCAGTGGAGAGTGGGGGACTCACGGCTCCTCGAGCTCTTTCTTAGGGAAGCTGGCTGCGGCCCTTCTCCCGGCGACCAGCCCTAAGGTGCCTGAGTGTGCTGCGTGACTCAGACCTTTCTCTCTGTGGCCTCTTGTAGCAGGTGCAAGGGCCATCTTGCTCCTTGCTGAATGTTCGTTGCTTCCGAAGCTCACGTGGAAGCTTGGTCCCCAATGTGGCAGGGCTGGAAGGTGGAGCCTTTAGGGGATGATTGGAGGGCGAGGGCCCGGCTCTCATGAGTGGACTAATCCATTCATGGATTAATGGGTTGAAGGATAAATGGGTTATCACGCGAGTGGCAAGGACGGCTCCCAAGGAGAGGAAGAGAGCATGAGGACACGCTTTTACCCTCCTCGCCACGTGACGTTCTGTGCCGCCTCGGGACTCTGCAGAGTCCCCACTAGGAAGTTCCTCGCCAGAGGCGCCCTCTCGACCTTGGACTCCCGAAACTGTAAGAAATAAATTTTGTTTCTTTATAAATTACCCAGTTTCAGGTATTCTGTTATAAGTGACAGAAAACGGACGAACACCCTCCTCCCTGGACTTCCTGAGCAGGAAGTCGTGAGTGGGCAGAGACCAAAGCGCCCCGGGCCCTTCAGACAGAGGCAGTGGCAGAACGGGGCAGAAACAGCAGCTCCAGACCTTTGCAAAGGGGCCAAAGTCATTTTCTAGTTCTCTTTTATGGATTTTTAAAAATGAGCCTAGAAACCAGATCATATAGTTAGTTTACATTTTTAAGGGATTTTTAAGTCTCATCCACTGACGTTTACTTGCCGTGTGTTTAGAGAAAATGTTTCTATCTCTTTTAAAGAAAGATGGGGGTCATCCAGGGTATGTTAAATGTGAGAGGATACTGACTGGCTGACGAAAGAGATGAGCTGTCTGGCTACAAAAGGCAAGGAGAGGCTGGGAAGCACGGGCGAGCCTGGCTGTCACACTGAGCTCCAGGACCCGCTGTCGGCTCAGCGTAGCAGGTGTCAGGGCTGGGCCGTGCGTTTGTCACCATCGTCCGAGGTGCTGCATGGTGAGGCCCAGTCACCCGCATCTCACCACGTTGTGTGCACAGAGGACATCCTGTGCTCCTTGTGCACGTGCGTGTGGCAGGCACTGCGTGGACGCTGTTGATTGAGCCTTGCCCGAGCCCCACGGACCTGCCCCTAAGGCCTGATGTGGCTGCCCTGTCTCTGTGGGCTGCTGACAGCTCAGCTTACAAGGGTGTCTCAAGAGGAAACGTGTTGCTCACA